AGCGGGCATGGCCGGCCGGCACGGGCTGGCATGCCAGGGTGCCAGGGCAGCTGCCAAGTGGTGTCTCCATGCAGCCCTGGGGCGGGTGGGAGTGGGCGTCTCCAAGCTGGGACCTCCCTTTGCGGCAGGACTCCCTGCCTGCTGGGCTGCAGCTGGGTTTGGGGGTGCCCATTCCCTCAGGGAGGTGACAGCCGGCTCTCAGCTCATGCTCTGCGGCTGGTGCAGGGTGCCGCCGGCTGATTCGGAGCAGCGGGAGCGTGTCTGGAGCCTGCTGCGGGGCCTGCTGGAGACCTACAGCCACCTACGGGAGGAGGACCAAAGCTTTGCAGTGGAGGTACTGTACCCTGGGGTGTCCCTTGCCTTCGGGGCATCCCAGGGGTGTGAGGCTGTGTGGAGTCCCGGGATGTCTCTGGGCTGGGGACTTCGAGGCAGCTCCCCAGAGCAGCAGTGCCTGGAGGTTCGGGGCAGCTCAGGGACTGTGTGGCTGGGTCTGGGGGGGCTCAGCAGCCGTCCCCACCATCTGCCCCCCCAGGCCGTGGAGCGGCTGCTCCACCCTCAGCTATGTGAGCAGTGCATCGAGTTCCTGGAGCGACAGGTGGTGCAGTACATCAACACCAGCCCTGAGCGCGGCGGGGATGAGGTGGGCCATGCCTTCCTCCTGGTGCACACCAAGCTGCTGGCCTTCTACTCCAGGTGCACCTGACCCCGGCCCCACCACCCTCGGCAGTGCAGCTCCTTGTCCTCCCGGCTGACCCTTCCCTTCTCTTGCCCATAGCCGCAATGCCAGCTCAATCCGCCCCGCTGACCTGCTTGTCCTCATCCTCCTGGTGCAGGACCTGTACCCCAGCCAGAGCGCCGAGGAGGAGCTCGGCCCCCAGGTGCTCCAGAGCGGGGCGTGGGGGGCAGCGGGTCAGGGTGCCCCTGCAGGGTGATGCCTTGGTGGCCAGGCCTTAATTTTTTCCCCTTTTTTTGGAAGCCTGAGGCAGGGAAGATGGTCCCCCAGGGGCCCAAGAGAAGTGAGAGCATCCCCATGAGTGGCCCTAGCTCCCACGGAGCTGCGGAGAAGGACTCTGATGACCAGGTGAGTCCCTGGGATCAGGAGCTGCAGGACGGGGCACTGG